TCCAGGGACCATGTTAACTTGTTATTCACAGGAAAAATTATAACTGCCAAGCAATGATATGGTTAAAAACTACATCTCCAGGGACCATGTTAATTTGTTATTCACAGGAAAAATTAAGGAGGAGTGCAAGAGACCTCATAAAGGAGAAGTCTATTTTTAAAACATGAATGATCTAGAATTAAATGAGCCAGACCACAGAATGTGTGTACTTCTGATGGCCTCAGAACAACAATCATGACATTATAAAACAACTTGTATATTTATATTCTAAGTGGTAAAAATACCATAAATACCAGATTTGCACAACAGGCTTGCCTGCTTAGCCACTTACTTTAGTAGAATATTCAAAGCTGTTAAAACAGGTTTCAAATTAGCTACATGAGCAGCCACATGTTTGATCTATTAGCAGCTTTTAAGAGAGGTTTAGTTACTAGAATTTGTTCAAAATAAATGCACATCAGTTTAATACTGCTGATGTTTACACAAATTATCTATCACAGAGGATTTCATGTTTTCTCCATTAGATGACTGTACTTTAGTTTCACAGAGGTAAGCTGAAAGGAAAAACACTTTGTTTTCAATTAAAATAACGAGTAAAATTCCACTGCAAGTTCCTACATTGAATTTCGTCCCTCAAAAAGTATTATTTTTATAATCTAATAGATTGCTTTCCTGTACCAATAGAGCAACCGTTTTATAAACTCACCGTCATAAAAGACTATGATAACAGGTAAAACAAAACATTAACTACATTATACCACTTTCACGTGACCATTTCAGAAAGAATGCTATTTTTAGAGTTACACTGTCTGTCCTGCTTCTGGTAAGGATTACTTAATGCAGCACATTCAAAACAGAATAGACTGAAATGGAAAGGTGAATAGTATGCGTTATACAACTCTCATAGGCTTAATATGGTTAAGCCAAACCAAATCTACTTACAGTGAAGAACTAGAGTGCAAATAGAGAAGAATACCAAGATTTTTTCAACAAGAACTTACCTGTGTTTACAAAGGAAGCTTGGCAAACTAAGTTTCTAAATGAACTCCACAACGTGGCCTTCATAAAACGGAAGTTATTCAGACCGATCTAACTCAGAAACAGATTTCTATAACTTTTTTTTTTAAAAAGACCCTCTACCTATTGCAGTTTTAATTCTTAAATGATTTTAAATAGATATTTTCTAAAAGTAGGGGAGGGGGGAAAAAAGACATCCTACACCAATATACTTTAAAAACCAACTGAAGTGGTTTTGGAGAGAGGTGGAGCAACAAGGGGAAAAAAGCCAGATTTCAGCATTGGCAAGAACACAGCTATCTCTAGCACAAAAGAGCATTTATATGCTCAGAGTCCAACTTAAAAAGGCAAGGAGAGGGGGTAGGAAAGCCAGAAACAAGGCAAATTTGAATCAAGGACCTTAGGAACAATATTTTGTTTAAATTAAGTACTATAATCTACTGTAGATTTCTACAGCATTTTACAAAAGCTTTGTACTAGACAGACTCAATTATGGGGAACACAACAAAGAGAATGAGCTAGTACAACAGAATTGTGTACTAGAAATAATCATTACAGTATTCAGACTGAAAAACAAAAAGGCTAATTTGAGTAATACACATCATTAGATATGAAGAAAGAAAACTGACTACAAATATTTGCCAAGACACAACAACTCTGTCTTTGCTAACTTATCACATAACTCACAATCTGAAATTACCACATTTGAAATGAATTCACCACAACTGAAAAACAGACAACAATAGTTTCAAAAGACAATTAGCGAAGTCAGTACTTGCAGAAACTTTAAAGATGAAACATAAGAACAGCCATACTGGGTCAGACCAAAGGGCCATCTAGCCCGGTATCCTGTCTGCTGACAGTGACCAATGCCAGATGCCCCAGAGGGAGGGAATACAACAGGTAATCCTCATGTGATCCCTCTCCTCTCACCCATTTCCAGACAAACAGAGGCTAGGGACACCATTCCAACCCATCCTGGCTAATAGCCATTGATGGACCTAACCTCCATGAATCTGTCTAGCTCTTTTTTGAGCCCTGTTCAAGTCTTAGGGTATGTCTACACTTGCAGCCTAAGTCGAAATAGGTTAGGGTATGTCTACACTTGCAGCCTAAATCGAAATAGGGTCTACACGCGGCAGTGAAATGGGCGTTCAAAATAAAGCCCTAGTTCAAAATACCTGTTAAGCCTCATTGCATAGACGCGGGTAGTTATTCCAGGCTTATCAATTTCAAAAAATGGCGCCCGACCTGGAACATGCAAATAAAGTGTGGGATATTTAGATCCCGGGCTTGATTTGCAATTTCGAATGCCTACATTTGCAGCTCTATTTTGAATGAGGCTGCAAGTGTAGACATACCCCTAGTCTTCACCACACCCTCTGGCAAGAAGTTCCACAGGTTGACTGTGTACTGAGTGAAGAAAAACTTCCTTTTGTTTGTTTTAAACCTGCTGCCTATTAATTCATTTGGTGACCCCTAGTTCTTACGTTGTGGGAATAAGTAAATAACTTTTTCTTATTCACTTTTTCCACACTAAAAAGTCATGATTTTATAGATCTCGAACATATCCCCCATCCCATAAATCCTCTTCTCTAAACTGAAAAGTCCAAGTCTTTTTAATCTCTCTTCATACGGGACCCATTCCAAAGAGCTAATAATTTTTGTTCCCCTTTTCTGAACCTTTTCCAATGCCAACATACCTTTTGTGAGATGAGACGACCACATCTGTACGCAGTATTCAAGATGTGGGCATACCATGGTTTTATATAGAGGCAATGAGATATTCTCTGTCTTATCTCTATCCCTTTTTTAATAACTCCTAACATTCTATTTGCTTTTTTCACTGCCGCTGCACACTGAGTGGATGTTTTCAAAGAACTATCCACAATGACTCCAAGATCTCTCTCGAGAAGCTGTAGCTAAATTAGTCCCATCATATTGTATGTATAGTTGGGATTATTTTTTCCAGTGTGCATTACTTTACATTTATATACATTACATTTCATTTCCCATTTTGTTGACCAATCACTTAGTTTGGTGATTGCTGTAATGTCCAAAACTGTAGGAGGCAGCCTTGGGAAGGGGGGCAGAGACAATCTCTTAGGCTACGTCTACATGACGAGTTTTCTCAGCAAAAAATATGCTAGAGGGACTCATTTGCATGAGTCAGGATCTCATTTGCATATTTTCTGCCGATCCGTTTTTGTGCGGGGTTTTCTGCACAAAAACAAGCAGCGTGGAAGTTTCGTTTTTGCACAAAACCCCCTTTTTTTCCACATGATCCTATGCCCCAAAAAAGGAGGTTTACCGGTCTTGCAGAAAAAGGGTTTTTTGCCCAGCACAAAAACGGATTGGCAGAAAATATGCAAATGAGATCCCGACTCATGCAAATGAGTCCCTCATTAGCATATTTTTTGCCGAGAAAACATGTAGTGTAGATGTAGCCCTAGGCAGTTTGCAACATGGATTCTCAAACAAAAAATTATGCCAGGCTCCTAGTCCCAGAGGGTTTACAATCTAAATCTGATAGGGCACATATTGCAAAACAATGAACAGTACTTTAGGAAAAAGCGTGGAGAGGAGAGATTACTAGAGAGGCAGAAGCAGGAAATATTCCTGAAAAGTGTGGGATTTAAAATGAGGATAAGGAGAAGCAAGGGGATAGATTGTTGCACTTTTAAAAAAAAAATATTCCAGTAATGTCTAGAAAACCCAATCAATGAGAAATTATTAGCTAGTCTCTGCCTCAAACAGCTATCCATCTAGGTCAGGGAACAGCATGATAGAAGGTAAGAAACTATGTGTGAAAAAATAAGGGAAACAATAAGGGAGAGGAGTGGGAGAAATATAAGATGATAGTAAGTTAGTAGTACACCGTGAAATGGGGGAGATGACACAGAGCCTTCAAGGCAAGGTTAAATCCCTCACTACAGACCTGGAAGACAATTATGCAGTCTCATCCACCTTTTTCAATTAGCCTTTAGGAATTCTTCTCTACACATTATAGCCATCTTTTATACAATGGCATTCTGTGAACTGTTATGCAAGAATTATGAGCCAAGTGGAGGAGCAACTATTGGAGCACAAGAGATACTAGCTTTTTCAACCTCATATAGAAATCTAGGATACCTTAAAGTTCAAGGGGAGAAAAACTAGAATGTGCAAAATGAAGAATTAAAAGACAATAACGAAGAGAAAAGAAGAGGATAATAAGACTGTGAGAAACTTTTTTGAATTAAAAGACAATAACGAAGAGAAAAGAAGAAGATAATAAGACTGAGAAACTTTTTATTTTTTTTTAAAGTCACAGCAACTGTGGACTGGTGTAACGGGGTGTATGTGCCCCAAGTCAAAGGGGTAAACAAAGAACACTGAATGAAAGACCACCCAGATCCCATCATTGCTGGAGCAAGCCTCTCCAGTCGGGTCTAAGCAAGAACGAGAAATAAAAAAACAAGGCAGCAGAACCAACAAAAGTTCCCTTAATTAGTTTCCACACCTGTGAACTTCACGTTTTGACATTTGGCTACTTTTCCGTGAGAGTGAAGAACAACAGGAGGACTGAACCTGATGATCTTTTAAGGTTCCTTCTAGTTCTATAATTCTACAAATATGCTGTATTTGTAATGAAAACTAAAGACTGGATTTTTCTAAATAGATTTCTAGGACAACACTGGACCATGCTGAGTATACCCCTGAAATAGTCGAAAGCTCAATTTCTTCATTTCCAGGACACCAGATTACCCCAGGTCCATTTTCAGATTGGTAGGAGACAGTGGAAATGCCAGAAGACTGGAGGCATTTTATTATTTGTCATTTTGGAATTGCTTGGCAAAGGAAAGATCTTGGTTCATCATTTATCTGAAGCTATGGCTCCACTCAAAAAGTGCACGGCATTCCGCATGCACAGGTGCTTCAGGGAAGGAAGAGGTGGCAAGTTGTGTGAAGAGTATACATTTATTAGTGGAGAGAGGTCTTACCTGTATTTTTATTGGCCATGTGAAGTTGCTGACATAAACAAAGAAAGTGATGTTGGGATTGTTCCGGAAATCAAATTTCTCATTGGAGAAGCTGTCCTTGTATTCCTTTATGTTGGACTTGGAAATAACTGGAATCTCCTCCCCTGCCTGCGTGCCAGCTGTTTGAGAATTTAAAAAGCAGCAATAAAAATTTGCTTTCAGTGCAGATCTTAAGTGATTTTCAAAGGAAACCAATTATCCTTAGTTATAAAGCTATGGCTGTGACAGTAAAATTAACTATTCAATTGAAAACTGCAATTCTGAGTTGTATTTCATTAGTAGAATCAATGAACACACAAAATATTGCATTGCAAATAATCAGATCAGCATTTAAACAGTTTCCAGTGCACATTATCAAGATGTGAGAATTGGAAAACTGGAGAGGAAAAATCTAAAATTCCTTCCTTAAATTCATTTCTTTACCACATTCCAATTTCTAAAATGTAACATACAGCATTTAATTATTCCTTTAAGTTCAGATTCCGATTTACTTCTCTCTTTTACCTGCAAAACTTGTTGACCAAGTTATGTTCAGATTGAAGTTTTTAGATGCGTTGATAAACATGTCCAGGTCTCTATTTTGCTAGTTTAGAGAGAAAAAGAGAGAGAGCAGAAATGAGTTATTTTTAACAGATGTAATTCCACTCAAATTATTCTGTTTTGAAAGCAACTCTTACTAAAAGTGTTAGAACTAGATTTATTTCACACCATGTTAAATAGACTACTCTTCTACATGTGAGAAGAGTAACGTCTACCAAGACACATTTTAAAGATCTACTGTATAGTAAATAGAATAGAGCTCTACATTTTTATTTGCGTCCCCCCCAAAAGTTTGTCAATTTAATTCCCAAACTATATTCTTTCAGGGTTCTTTACAGAGTACACGTAACTAGTTTTTTTTAAATTCTTTCAGGGTTCTTTACAGAGTACACCTAACTAGTTTTTTTTTTAAACTATGGAGAGGAGTGACAACATTCATATATTTTAATGCCGACATATTTAGAATTTTTTAATTTTAAATACTCTGCCTACTCAATAAAGTAATCAGTCTTACATTCTTACAAAAGTCTACTCTGGTCAAGATTTCAAATCATGGTTTTTATTGGTTTTCCTTCAGACTGCCACATGTTATCTCCTCCTTGCCCCCCACTCCAATATCTGTGCCTTCTTTTATAATACACAATGTAATTTTTACAATACACAGTTATATACATTTCTGATAACTGGGCATACTAACTTACACTAATTTGAGTTCACTATGAAAAGTGAAAGTTTATAAACTGTCACAGTAAGTCATAACAATAAAGGTTAATGGGAAAAGGTGCAAAAAGACTGAATTAGTCTAAACAAAAAAGGTCTCACAAAATAACTCAATGACTGGTCAACAAGAGGGCTGTGTCTACACTGGCATGAATTTCCGGAACTGCTTAAAACGGAATACTATTCCATTTTCAGTTTTTCCGGAAAAGGAGCGTCTACATTGGCAGGCTGCTTTTCCGGAAAAGCCCTTTTTCCGGAAAAGCGTCTGTGGCCAATGTAGACGTGCTTTTCCGGAAAAGAGCCCCAATCGCCATTTTCGCGATCGGGGCTTTTTTCCGGAAAAGACTACTGGGCTGTCTACACTGGCCCTTTTCCGGAACAGTGTTCCGGAATAAGGACTTATGCCCGAGCGATTATTTTCTCTCTTTTATCCATCACTACTTTTGGGAAGCCCTTAACAATGAGACAGGATGAGGGGGAATACAGATGAATGGATATGAAAGGGAAGGTGACAACTTCATCATGACAGCTACCAACCCCACTCTCTCCTGAGACCCTTCATCATCCTGATCCTAGAAGATGTCCTGAACAGAGGAAGGTCATCATCAGTGCCATCTCAACTGGATCATGCTAATCCCTAATACCACCTAACAGGTGAGGCTTCTCTCAGACACGTCCTCCTTCCTGGGTATTTTTCTGAATCTCAATATTTCTTCTCTTTCCTATTCCTCTCCTTTTTCCTTTTGTCCAGGTATTTTTCTCACTAGATAATACCGCATATTTTGCAGCAGTGCTGTAAGCCTGAGACCAGAAAAAGGCACCTAATGCCCTGAACTTCCCCAAGTTACTGTTAAGACCTTGTGCTGTGTCTCTCTCTCCAGCAGTCAAGTTGCAAATGATAACCAACAGCAGAGAGAGAAGTTCCTCATAGCCCACTGTGGCCCTACACATTCGGTACTGCAAGGAAACAAGCTAACCACATGGACTGAGGAGGTTCTGGCTACCATGTAGAGTAGCCATGTGCACCATGAACGAAAGTATGAAATGTGAGGTTCCAAAAGAGAAGAGACCACACTCACCTCTTCAGGTGTTGCTACAAAATTGATGGCAGTATAGTAGCGATCGTCCTCTTGGGAAAGGCTGAAGGTGAACTGATAGTCAATAAGCAGAGTATCTGCAAAGAAGGCACCCAAGCAGGTGAAACACCCCTTGAAATAAAACTAGCTTCTGGAATGTAAGCCAGGTATCCTATTGCTTACTATGAACTAGAAAACAGCTTCTCGCAGTAAGAGAGAGTTACAGCGTTGTTATAAATTGCCTCCCACTCCCAGAAGAAGTTTGAGTCTGGGAAAGAATAATAAACACTTGAAACACCTCATTATCCAAGCCTTGGAACCCATTACATCCTACCCTAATAAAATTAACCCAAACTTTTTTGTTGTTCTGGGGAGTGCATGTGCGCAAGGTAAAAGATTTATATTTTTCAAGTAGAACATCTGATAAAAACTTCCATCCTAAGAGAATTTGGGGGAAGGGAAATGTGGATGACTACTTGTTTAACTACATTTGCTTAGTTTTTGTAGTTCCACCAAAGCTAAGTATCTATCAGAAATGTTTATCAGTATTATGGGAGTTTAAGGAAAACCCAAATCTCTCAGCTGGTAGAACACAGTGTCCCCATTACAGCAGTGTGGAGGAAAACATTCGCTCATCTAGCAAACCTGGTGAACCAACCACACTTTGACTACAGTTGGGTAAAGCAAAGACCGGCCTAAGAGGGTAAAATTGCTACTCTGGCTAATACAGCAAGGCTTTTTCCAAAAGGCGGGTTGGGGTTTGAGACCCGCTTACGGTATATCTTACCTTATTTTTCTCTCTTATCCCACTACCCACCCCAAACACGAAAGACACCTAATTCAGTCCACTGTGGTCTCTAAGGGTATATGTAGACTGCAAGGCTATTCTGGGATACGCGCCCACTATTTTAAAATAATTTTTGAAATAACGGATGCGATATTTTGGCATCCCTGTAAACCTCATCCCACGAGGAATGAGGGTTGTCTCGAAATAGTGCTTTATTTTGAAATTTGGTGCCATGTAGACTCGCCAAATTTCAAAATACCCTATTTCAAAATAAAATCTGAATAAGATAAGCAATTTGTGTAGCGCAAATTGTGTATCTTATTTTGATTTTAGAATGAAGTCTAGACTTGCGCTAATAGGCTCAAGCGAGTACACAATGGACCTAAATCCTTCATGAAGTATTTCTGGCTATCACGACAATATACAGCACTGACAAAATTCATCATCATGCCACCCATATACCGGGCTTCAATATTATCATCAAGAGCCCAAGAAGCCTCCCCCAACATTAGGCAGTTTTCCCTTTCCCGTGTGCTTGGCAAGGTCAACCTGTTTGACAACCCCACACAAGATTATCTTCAAAACCTATCAAGTCAGTGCTGCTCCTCAACTGTCCAAGCTGGATTTTGCATACTTGGAATTTGCACACATCCTTAGAAATCCTATCTGAAACCTTCACTGTGATGTAATTTAAGATTTTTTTCAGCTAATGTCTTTCTACAAGTTTTGTTCTCAAATATTTAAGGGTATGTCTACACTACCCTCCTAGTTCGAACTAGGAGGGTAATGTAGGCATACCTCACTTGCAAATGAAGCCCGGGATATGAATTTCCCGGGCTTCATTTGCATAAGCGGGGCACCGCCATTTTTAAAACCCCGCTGGTTCGAACCCTGTGCAGCGTGGCTACACGGGGCACCAACTAGGTAGTTCGAACTAGGCTTCCTAGTTCGAACTACCGTTACTCCTCGTGGAATGAGGAGTAACA